ACCCCCCCCCCCCCCCAAAAAAAACCCAAAACAAAACAAAACACTTGCCTCAAACTTTTGGAGTCATTCCTACATCTCTTCAGTTCAGTCCTGACTCCTACCCGATTACCTATCAGCTGCCTGTGGTTTTGATCCTACCTCTCTCATCTCTTCATCCAGCTTGCGCTGCTCCAGAGCTTCTTTCTCAGCCCGTTTGCGGTGTTCTTTTTCTACTTTCTCATACTTCTTCCAGTAAAGTAGCATTTCCTTGGTGAGGCGACGTGCCCGTGGTAGAGTTTCCTTACAGTTCTTCTGGGCTTGGATGGCAGCTCGACGCACCTCTCTCATGCACTGATGGGCCAACTGACATGGCATTACAGAGTTGAGACAGAAGAAAAAAACAGGTTTAAAATAACCACTGACAAAAGGCAACATTTTTTAACAGCCAGATCTTGCAAAAGAAATGCATGATTTTGGTTCCTAGGGTGCATCTATTGCTTATTAAACATGCCACACTGACAGACCTGAAGAATGCAGACTTTCTTAAAGGTTACACAGAATTGACAGTTGTAGCTTTCCCCCTACTGCCCTCCCAAACTCTGTTTGGAGACAATACCATTTTTATTCTCAGTGTCTAACTTGAAACTGCTTTTCTGAGACAGCCAAAAAGAATCCTATGGTAGTGTTAGAGAAATGTTGTAGCCATGATGGTCCAGGAATTATGCAAGGCAAGGATTTTTGCGGGCAATAACTTTTACTGGACCAGCTGCATGGTTGGAATAAAATTAGACAAGCTTCTGAATGTATCATTCTTCGTGAGGTAATGCTGGATCCAGGGCTGGTCCAAATAGGGTCTGAAGACCAGCCCTGCATGCTGGATCCAGCACACAAAGCCAGTTCAGCATGGGTGCCATACACAGCACACACTGAACCAGCTCCATGTGCATGGGGTATGCAGGGAAGGAGCCAGAGCATGCACTGCAAGCAGCACACATGCCAGCCCAAGTGACCTGATGAAGAATGTCTTGCATTCAAAAGCTTGTTTAACTTTATTCCAACTGTGCAGCTGGTCCAATAAAAGAAACCACCCTGAAAAATCCTTGCCTCTTGCAAAAAGAAGGCTAATAAATTTTGGTGACCTGGACAACCTGCTCACAAACTCCCACTCAGTTCAGTTAAAGCATGAGTGCCAAAAATACAGTCCGTGGGCCAGACCCAACACATGGAGCCATATCATCTGGATCGTAGAGTTGCTTATGGATCATTGACTGGCCCCACACGCCGCATATGCTGGTCTTGGCCCTGTGCGCTAAGCCCATTTAGCACAGGCTGCGCACAGCATGGGGCCAGTCTGGAGTATGTGCTGCATGCAGTGCCCATACCTGACTGGCCCTGCAAGCTGGATCCTGGGCTGGTCCAGATCAGGCCCACAAACAGATGCTGGATCTTGGTGTGCATGGCTGGTACGGTGCAGGTGCCATATGCAGCACACGCCCCAGTCCAGCTTCATGTGCCACATGCCCCACAAAGCTAGAGTTGGCATGGGCTATATGCAGGACCCAGGGATGGTATGGAGTGCATGCTGCATGTGGTGCCTGCACTAGACCAGCCTTATATATTAGTTTGAAGTTGGTCCAGATCAGACCAGCCCTGCATGCCAGATCCAGGGCAAAGGGCCAGTCCAGCACAGGTGCCATGCACAGCACATGTACCAAACTGGCGTCACACAGTCACACCCCATGCATATGGTGTGCAGGGCTGAAGCCAGAGCATGCACTGCAAGCAGCACAGATAATCAAGGTCAGGGCATACACTGCATGTGGCACCCACACCAGACCAGTGCTGGGGGATGAATCCAGTACATGGGGCTGGCCTGCAGGCCTGATCCAGCCCACAAATCACCCCTGCACCCCAGCCAAATGGGTATGACACCCCTGAATTAGGGGATACCCATTTACTTTTGCTAGCTTCAAAGACGGCCCTAGGAGCTGGATTTGAGACTACCAACAGTTACTAGTCACATTCCTACTTATACAGGGACAAATTAAAGACCTAGAGTGAAAGAAAATTTATAATGACAAAAACTTATGTACTTCCATAAATGCTACCTTATTAGTAAAAGTCTAAAGACACACTACTGCATTGAGATGAAAGCAACATAGAAATTATGTTTCTTACACAAGGTATAATAAGCAAACACTAAAGCTGAACCCCTCTTACCTTCCTGCTGTTAGTTAAGAAGAGGTTGCGCGCTGAAGCTTTCTGTTTGTATGCCTGCAAGGAGACATTTTACATGACCAAATAAGCAGTCTGGCTTAGTAACATTTTAGAAGCTACCTAACTAGCTTTCAATACATGTGTGCCCAACAGCCCCAATATTATATGGCCTTGTGTAATTAACTAAGTGGAATACTGCTTTTCTCTGAAGCTAAAGAATGGCGTTCCTACTGGCTACTAAGGACATACTCATGCATTGCAACTGTTGAAGGATTTTTTAAAAATTAAACTTTTAAAAATATTCTGCTCTCTGAAAAGAGAAGACCAAGGTGCGGGATTTAACAACAGCCTTCAACTACCTGAGAAAGGTGGTTCTCCAAAGAGGATGGAGGAGCTAAACTGTTCTCAGTGGTGCCAGATGACAGGACAAGGGCCAATGGGCTCAAACTGAAGCAAAGGAAGCTGAGGTAACATATTAGGAAAAATTCTCTCAGTAGGAGGGTGGTAAGTACTGGGACAGTCTACCCTGAGAGCAATCTCCATCCCTGGAGGTTCTGAAGATCAGGCGTGACAATACTGGGATAATACAGTTGGGGATGGTCCTGCTTTGAGCAGGGGGTGGACTAGATGACCTCCTGAGGTCCCTTCCAACCCTAATTTTGTATGATTCTATGATAAATAATTTTCTTCATTGTGAAGAAGGCAAAATTGTTATTTGAAATGATGCTTCATTTTCTTTTACTGCTGAACAATGGCAATTCAGAGAAAAGCCTCACTTACGTCCTTTGTCTTTGAAACAACGCCTAGATTTCTCCTGTTTTTGTACTTCTGCTATTCCTCCCTTTCTTTTCCCAGAGTCAGCTTTTCCCTTCTTTCAGTGGAGTTACACTCCTTTTGCTTTAAAATAAACTAAAATCTAATTAGCTTTTAATACATTAAAAAGAAAGCAAAAGGAAAAGCTGCAAGTTTACCAATCTCACCTGATGGATTATGGAACAACAGAGAGGCATCGGGTCACTTAATTCTATCATGCTGACTTCTTGATAACACAATCCTATATTTTATCTCAACTCTAGCATCCTCCAAATCAATTCAACTGGCCAAACTCACCTTTGGCAGTTCCTTTTTAACAATGCTAAGCCAGACTTTCCGCCGTCGAGCATTGAGCTGTTCAATAGTCAAGTGTTTTTTCTTGGACCCTGGTGGAGGTGCATCATGCGAAAACTTGGCAAAAACTTTGGTCTGGTGATGGTGGCGTCGTGGTGACTCCTCTGAGGAGAGTTCTTCTTCCCGTCTCCTTTTTTTCTTAACCTTTTTCAATTTGGCTGCATGGCAAAAGAAGTGACAAGATGAGGTTCTTTTCCTAGCATCTGTGATCCTCCAAGTCAGTTCATGTATTCTGCCTAACCCTGCCATACTAGCCACTTCAAACAAATGGGACCAAACATAAGGACTGGATCTATGTCTACCATATTTGGGACTACACATTCTTTATAAGCGGCCCTATTTTCATTATGTGACCCCCACAGAAAAACCTCTTACTGCTCAGCAGCACCAATTAGATCCTCTCCACAGATAAATGAACCCGCTAAATTAAAATATTTGGGATCTAGTGCAATACTTCCTACACTTGAATGAAGTTCTGTTTAAAGATATTGAAAAGAACAAGATCAACATTGTATGGCAAAAGTCTCAAATCAAGCAGTGTCATTTGAAAGAGGTCTTAAATTCAATGCAGTTACTAGCTGTTCAGACGAAACTAAGAGACAATTAGGGTCAGATCATTAATACATATACTTCTGAGATTCTGCAAAGCCAAGTATGTTACAAGGTCCTGGGGGGAAAAACACATGTAGTTGGAAGAATGTGCAGAAGAACAGAGAAGGAAGGATGCCCAAAATAACCTCCAACACATCTCAGACTTCCAGTAGTTGCATTAGTCAGAATCTGCTTTGCAGATAGTCTACAAACTTCTTTTCCTGTTTCCTCCCAGATTTTCAGCTGTTTGTCAGCTCACTCAAAAAAGGAAACGTGTATTTCCTGGCAAGCAAGCATTTGAGAAACTTCAGCTAAGAGATGAGAGAAATAGTTCTAGTTTAATTCACAGATAGCAATTTCCTATAAACTTCCCTTAGCTTTCAGACTACAGTCCCAATCCCCATAATTTCTTGCTCAGAAGAATTACACACATAGGGAGGGCTATGCCAAGTTCTTGGCAACATCTTAAGCTTTTCAAAGATGTACTATATTTACAAGAAAACTGAATGCAATGACAGCTATGGATTCCAAATCATTACTGAGTCAAGAAGCAATTTAGAGAGTAATCAGCTGCTACAGAATGAGGTAGATAGGTGTAACACGGAGGTCTGAACATATAAGTTGGAGCCAGAAACTTTTACTTTCCAATCACATTTTTATACCAATTCTCCCTGGGAGCTAAGCAAGCCATAATATGCATCTTATGTTCTTTCTTTTATAAAAAGGGGTTTTATCTATTGTACTACTATTAAAAAGTGCTGAAGAATAATGTTTGTTAGGTGGATTTAACAGAGAGCCTGGGGCCTTCTGTTACTTTAAGGCAAAAGCAGACCAGGCAGGACACAGCAGTTGCAGGCTGCTGGGATAACAGGACAATTGGGCCAATTAGCCGACAGCTGCAGGCAACCCAGGCAGTCTGCTGATGGGAAGGGGGTGGGGCCCTGGAAGGATATAAGCATGGACTAGCAGGTTAGTCTCTCCCTGGCAGCCACAGGGTGAAGAGCTCCCAGGCGGCTGGGTTTCTGAAGGGACTTGCAGTGCCACATCTGGATCCCAGTTCTGCATCTGGATCTCTGGTGAGGCTAGGGGAGCTCACTAGGATATAGCCCAGGGCTGGGAGGCTATGCTAGGTGAGGGGCAAGGGAAAGTTTTCCTTCTTAAAGGGGCAGGGGGCTGTTTCCCCTTTATGTTATGATACAACCAGGGACAGGCTCAAGACTCGAGTGACTGCTGAGCCGGGAGTGGGAAGAGACTGAGGCCACAGAGCCACATAGGGGCCAGGGGCAAGGTGCCCAAAAGGGCCAAACCAGACCTAGTGCCTCAAAGCCAGGTGCTATACAGTGGGCCAGGGCTAGAAGGCCTAGCAAAAGTAAAGGGGTGGAGGTTGAGGAGGGCAAAGCCCCAACCAGCGGACACAAGGCTTGGGGCGTGGCGTAGGGAAGGACTGAATCATGCAATTAGCTTCTAAGGCTTTAAGAGACCTACAGGGCATGGTCAACCAGCAAGGTCCAGCAGGGGGCCTGAGACCAGAGAGGTCCAGCAAAGGGCCTGGGAGCAGTAGAGGCCAGTGGAAGAGGCCTGCGGGTAGCTTCTCTATTATTATTGTTGTTACATCCAGGCATGGCAGGTAAGAAGGAAAGGTGTCCTAGGGGCAGAATGGGGCATGGTTGCAGAGCCACCAGGGAGGCATCACAACCGCCCTTGGGACCCCAACATGCTACACGGATATACAGTATGGAACAAATTTAGACACAAACTAGCTAGCAAGGCAGTGTACATTCCTCACCTTTTAATTTTTTCTCTTCTTTAAATTTCTTTTTCTTGGGCCCAAGATGACGCTGTTGCTCGTAGTATGGATCATGTGTGGACAGCAGCCCTGCGCTGTAGTATTGATATTGCTGCAACTGAAATAGAAGGAAGCAGAAAAGATAATGAAAATAAAGAAAAACTCAAAAGAAATTAAAATCTTGTCCCTAAAGTTTGGAAAATATGTATTCCTCTATTTCTAGCACTGATATTGGTTAAGACAAGGTGCCCAAAGTGAAGCCACTGGATTATATGCGATTCTACAAAACAATTACAGCTACTCCACTGATAACAGTGGAACTGTGGCCTGTGGAGACTAAATGCAAGGGGCCACTGCTTGTATTGAATGAATTCTCATCTTTACAGTAAGCTCACTCCAGTGAGAAGGATACGGGCTGGGAAGGGAGATGTACTGCTGCTAGTACACCTTTTTATGTAATACTGGGGGGTTCTTACTATAAGGGAATATAAAAAGCAAGCCAGCACCTTGCCCACTCATCTGGACCTAATTTAAGTTATACTCGTTTGGACCATATATTAGGTTGTCTTGGATTGCTGAATGGGATCTTTTCCTAGCCTGCAAAAGCTTAACAAGTTTTGCAAATAGGCTGAAGAATAAATATTCTACCATATTAATATCCAAATATTGCACCCTATTTTAAAAAGGGGGGGAGGCGGAAATAGAGTGAAAAATTGGGGTTCGCCACTGGGATAGTTACCTCTTTGTCCTTGCTGTATTTACTTTGATGCAGCTTCTTATACTTGTGCAATCGAAGCATATTGTGAAGCTCCTCCCTGGAAAGAGAAAATTCCTCTTCCTCTCCATCCTCATCGCTGGGTGAATCCGTGTCGCTGGAGTCATCACTCAGGAGAATGCTCTGACAAGAGTGTAATGATCTCTAATTTAACTACTTATGGACCCTACTTGCTGACTTCTTTACTCAGGCAGAATAGCTGCAGGACTGGCTCAACAACAATACTTTGTTCTTAGGTAATACTTCCTATCTGAACCCACTGAAAATGGATTTCCACGCAGGAAAGTATTTCTCTTCTATGAAATGGAATATAACATCCATAGCAGTTTCAACACTGTTGCCTTTCCTTATATCTGTATCAGATACAAGACATCAAATTTGATGAACTCATGGTCTGAAGCCTAGATAAAGGTGGCTCCTAAAACAACTTCATTTTCAGTGGAGCTGGCTCCAGAATAAAGTTGTAAAAATGACAAAGCCATCATTCTGTGTTTTTCTTTCCATAGGCACAATGTTGAGATGGTCTCCAAATGTCCATTTCTTTGTTATGACTACAAGTTACTGTAGTTTGGATGCTGTATCAAACCTGCTTCACATTTTTGAATGCACACTCATCATTAAACTAAAACATTTTTGCTCCTTGGCCTCATCAGTTTAATCACTATTTTAGAAAAGAAAGGAAACTAAATCCCAGGGCCAAGATGACTACAGTTCTGTTTTACATAGGTTCTTCTACTGCACATATGACAATATCTGAACACCTTTCAGTACTGCAATGTGATTAGTATGTGTCATGTCCAGTCTCTCTTTCTTCCTCTGCCCAGAACAAGAACTGTGTGCAGTGTAATGTTTAGCTTTGTTAGAGCTTTGGAGGGATTTTTTTGGTGCAAATTAAAGCTCTTCTTGCCTCTCAGTAACAGGGTATTCAAAACTTCTTAATAAGTAGTGGGTTTAATACAAAGCAGAAGACTGACAAAAACGGGAGACCAAGACACTACAAGAGCAAATAAGAATTCAAAGTATCTTTCTCTTTTCAGAGAAATACAAAATGTTCACACATTACTGCACACATATGTACACTTTCCAAATACATATTCTATACCACGGATGTCAAATGCATGACCTGCAGAGCTGGGTTGCCTAGCCTGTGGGACCTTCTGAAGGTCTGGGAATTTGTGGGCACAGTGAGCAGGGAGAGGGCCCACCACCAAAATCTTAGAAAGGGAGGCCTGTTGGGTGACATGTGTTGGTAAGGAGGGGAGGAGATGGCTTTGTTAAACCCTACAGCCACATCCTGATCCAGCCCATGAAGAGGGGTGAATATACCAATTAAGATTATATCACATCTTCATAAGTTCTCTCCTGGAAAAAAAATAGTTCTAGTTTGGCTGGTCCAATAAGCACACAGTACACCTAAAAAGCAGGTGTTACAAAAATAGCTTTGAACTATTTTTATATTCCTCCCACCATGGAGCCGATACTGCGCCAGTTGGGTCCCTGACGTAAATTACACAAGCCTTCAAACAGCTGCTAATGGCCCCCAAAGCTATTCCTGCACCAGGGGCTGTTGAAGCATAACGGAGTCCAGGCTACACACTATTTTCATAGCTAGATGCCCTATTCTAACACCTGAGAAAGGTGGTACAGAATTGCTACATGTCTCAATGCTAAGTAAAGATTTCCTTGGGTTAAGAAGGGCTTCCCCATGAGGTTGAACCTGCATATTTGAGGTCTTCTCTGTATCACCGGTGCAGTGACAGGAAGCCCCAATGCTCAGAAATGCTAAGGCCACTACACTTCCAACAGCTTTTCATTAAATTTTAAGTTTTACAAAGATGAGGTCAAATCAAGTAGACTCTTAAGAGATACAGAGGGCAAAATGTAAGTGCACCACATGAAACTTCAATTTAGTAGGTACAATCTAGTATTTGGATGAAACTTACTTTAATCAACGGTTACTAACAACTTCAAATTTCTTTAAAAAGTATTCAGAATTCCGTAAGTGTAACAGGGAGTAAAAATCACAGAATTCCTTTGATTTCACAACTCTGTGTGGGACATACTAGTGGGTATGCTACAGCAGTTTTTGCTCACAGTTCCCCTTCCCTTTCAATAATCTTACCTTCAGCCACTTTCTACTTTTCTTCAGTTTGGAAAAGTTATACAGACTCCCTTTTTCTGACTTTGGCTCTGAGAAAGAAGAAGTAACATTTGTTTTAGAAAGCAGTCATTATTTTATAATAAAAATGCAATCCACAGACCCAAGCAAGGGTACTACTGTACCGCACCGGACCTCAAGCAAACAGGAATTCTGTCTGATGAACAACTTACCCGGCTGCAATATCCCATTGAGGGAATGTGCGTTTAACATCCCCGAATTCCCTGCTTCAGAAGATTCCCCAAGCAACGAGTTTGGGGGTTCCTCCTTAACTTGCATCAGGGGACCCCCAGACTGAGGCAGTAAAGGATTGTCATCCAGTCCATCCTCACTTTCATCACTGCAATAAGAGTAATAAAACATGATCACAGCAAGAAAGAAAGACACTTAGAATCAGGGACAATTTGCAACTGCAATATGCAATTTTCTTATAAGCTAACACTTATACAGGGGATTGGGAATTAGGGACTGCAAAGGTTTCTATATGTATGCAATAATTATTTAGCCATTGCTAAGTTTTTTTCCATGAATTTGGCAATTGTTTTGTATTTTGACAGCATTATCAACTTATTAAAAGAGCTTAACAAATGATCCAATAAAAATAGAAATGCAACACAGATTGAAAGGTGGAAGTATCTTAAGAAAATAGGAAGAAGGGTGTAATGCAATTTAGCTTGAATAATTTTGGAAAGGAATGTTGTAGAAAAATCAGGCTTGATGGATGGCCACTACGCAATTAAAAACTCTGAAGATCAGTTCTCATAACTTACATATGATACTCTTTATAGAAACTGCACTTAAGGCAAGCACTGCAAACGCCTCTGCAGTATACTTGTTGTCCTATATAGGGAAACACAGCCAGCGCTCTGCTGTGAATTTATGGGCCTCAATAAACACTATTGTTTCTCAGACACAAACATAATGAAGCAATAAAACAAGACAATATAATCACATTATACACAACATACCTCCAAATATATCATGGGACAAAGTGGCAAATTTGGTTAGGTAGGGTTAAAATACAGTAATAGTCCCAACTTTGCCATCCTCTCAAAGGTAAAAGTGAAAGTTCACCCCACTATCACTCTGAGTCACCAGCTGAATCAGTTTGTGAAGTGTTCATTTAGCTTATCACACACTGAATTTTTTCTTAGAAATCTAAGCCTGAGCACAGTTTTTCTGATCTCATCTCCCAGCAGCTATGCTGTGTTGGGAAATAGGAGGAAGGGTAAGCAGGGATTGCCCTCGCCCTTTGCCAAGTCTGGAGCACTTTTCTTCTCCAGGTCTTAATACATATATGTCATGGCTGCTCCCAGCTACCCACTCATCCTAGCTTCAGTGCTGTGACCCCTATTCTTGCAAATCCATCATTTCTAGAAGGAACTTCATACTTGGGGATTTGTATCTTAATACTTATATTTGTTTCCTACCACATGATTCTTTATCTGGCCACGGTACAGAGATGCTACAAATAGTTAAAGTCTAACTTCTTGTAAGATCAACTTAATATTTAATAAATTCAGACTATTTTTCACAAAACTGACGAAAAGAATCATCAACCACTGAACTACAGAAAAAGTTTTGAAAGGCTTTGATAATTTGCATCTGGACTAACAATGCACTGGAAAGGGTACCTAGAAAAGTTGTGGAACCTCTTTTGCAGGCAGTTTAAGAGCAAGTTAGACAAATACTTATCTGGGCTGGTTTAGATGGGTATGCTCCTACCTTGAGCTGGGGGCTGGACTAGATGACTCCCTGAGTTCCCTCCTATTTTTCTCTGTTTCTATTATGTGTCAAGTTACCAATCAATATAAGATGAAAAGACTGCAGTATAAAACTCTTTAAAATGCAGAGGTCATACTGGATAATTAACCTTTACTGTGGGGTTACTCAGAAACAATATTATATAATCTTTATTTTCCAGGTGTCCTATATCTAGAATAGGAAACATTTTGATACCTGGATATGCTTCTGTTGAAGATGGCAGATGTCTGTCGGAGAAACTGATCCAGTCGTAGAGCTTTTTCCAGATATTGCAGATAGAGGGGCTTTGCCAGCTCTGTGCAGCTGCCATCCTCCGTGGCACCCAGCTCTGAGGCCATAGAACAAACCTCTCCTCATGCACAGATGCCTCCAAACACACAGCTGCATGAAAACAGAGTGCACTCATTATCATCACCTCCCTAGGTAGGGCTAAAGAGAAAAAACTAGATGAACTGATGGAACCTACTATGCAGGCTGGATAAAAAAAAACAACAATTTTTTTAATTTAATCTTTTTTTTTATTTTAAGATGCTTTTTAAAAATAGTAAGCCCATATAAAGGTAGTTTTAATGTAAGATATGTTAAAGCTCAAATATATCATCATAGAATACAGATTATAACTTCTAATTATATACCATTTGAGACAATATATTAAAGTAGCCTTTTTAGAAAAGTTGTATAAATAGGTCACAACAAGACCATGGACTATATTAGGGGCCCAATCTTATGGGGTTCCCAGAGGCTCCTCTATAGATTAGTAAATATTAAAGAAAACTAGAGGTGCACCAATACATCAGTCCCATATCATATTGGCACCAATATAAAGAAAATTGACATTACTGGCAATCAGCTTTGTTTGGCTGATGTGGCCGATAATGTTGCCAATAAATGCCCGGTGCATGTGTGCAGCATGCAGGTGGCCAGGAGTGCAGATCAACAGCGTGGAAAGCCGCACCTGGCTGGTAAGTCTGTTGTGGGGGAAGGGGCGGAGGGGAGGGTACGGGCATGGGAAGAGTGGGGGGTGGGCAGATTGAGGTCCCCACAGTAAGAGAGGGAGGGAGTGGGGCTGGGGCAGGCACTGCACAACCAAGGCAGGGCGGGGCAGGGGCAGAGCTGCAAGCAGCTCATCCCGGCAGCACAGGAGGGAAAATAGGGTGCTGCTCCTGCTGCTGTGCGCAACCCAGGAGGTCATGAGGCCTTTATGCCTCCCAGATCTGTGTGCAGGGAAAAAACAGGCTGCTGCTGTGGGCTGGGGGCAGCGCCGGGAGGACTGAACCAGGCTGTGCACTGATCTATCAGTGCCATATCAGATCGGCACTGATAAAAGGAAAATTAACGATATAAGCTTTCGGCTTTTTTTTGGCTGGTGTAGCCAATAACGTACCGATAAATAAATTATGCCTCCTGGCTAGGGCCCTCAGACGTTGCATGTACACAAGCAGCCACAGCATGCACACAGCCAGGAGCACAGCTGGGCAGCATGGAGAGCAGCGTCCTGCAGGTAAATCTTTGGAAGGGAAGGGGTGTTGGGGGAGGGGGGGCAGATTGAAGGCCCCATGGTGAGGGAAGGAGTGGGGCAGGGGCAGAGGTAGGGGCTGGAGCTGAAGGCACTGCCTAGCCAGGGCAGCGAATGGACCCCGGGGCTGGGATTGGGAAGAAGCTGCAGACAGCTCATCCAGGGGGTGCAGGGCAGGGGGGCAGATTTGTGCATGGGGCGGAGGCGGGCTGCCCACTGTAGGCTTGGGGCTTTCCATCCTCCTGCCTTTGCCCCGGGAGCCACTCGCTGGCTTCATGTCCCCTGCCTGTCTGGCGGCAGTGGGGGCAGTGAGTTGTGCCTCCCACCGCCAGGCGGGGGACACAGTGTGGCCAATGCATGGCTCCCAGGGCAAAGGCAGCAGGGTGGAAAGCCCCAAGCTCACAGCAGGCAGCCCGCCTCTGCCCTCGCCTTATTTAGCTCCACTCCTAAAAGCAACCCTGCACTTAAAAATGGTGGTGGTGGCACCTGAACTAAAGCTCATTTGATCCTTAGAATGACAAACGTTTAACAAAACATATTCTTCTGTTACAAATGTAGGTATAATAGTTATGATAGTAGTGAAAGATCTTATTTGTATAGCATAATTATTTCAAATATCCACAGCATCTTAAAGAGCTACTTATGACTTAAATATGGCAACGTTCAGTTGTAAGTGAATTTGTTTAAGCTTGAACTTATGTCTGCTCAATTTAGTCATTGAATGTAGCAATATTTTGATACAACTATGGAGGAGATAGTCTCCCCCGAGATCTTGTGTCACATAAAGCATACAACACAAGCCCAAAGAATAATTTTGGGAAATCTTGGAAATGAAACAAATATATATATATATATATATATAT